TGTTCCCTGCACGGATGCATCTTCAAGGACAACACGCCTTGAGCCGGGAGCCAGCCACCTGGTGCTCTGCTCCTGCTGCGCGGGCTGAAGGGCTCCTGCAACGATGGATACGCTCCCAGGGCTGAGGGAAAGCGCATTCTCGCCGTGTCATCCGCTCGCTTCCCGCTGCTCTTCTCTCACAGATGCCTCTCTGCCTCGTCTTCACCACGTCCCATGGCTTTCGCGTTGCTCAGTTTTAGGATTGCATCTAGATACCCCCACCTCTGTATCCTATTGTTTACGGTGTGCTAATCACCTGCAGGTTGTGAATTAAATCACATCAGCAATGCCTTCTTCAAGGGCAAGACGGGAGCTGAAGGCTAGTGAACCTCGACCTCCAGGTCTGTTTCTTCCGCATTTTGGCCCCCCAGAGAGAGCACGAAGACACGGAACAAGACAGCTGGAGCAACGTGGATCGATCAGGGTTGGCAACGATGATGAGAGCAGTCTAGTCGACGAAGGCATTGGTGCAAAGCGAGCCGACGGTAGGGTTGAGATACAGGAGTCTGACTGCTATGAGAAACTGGGCTTTGGCTTCTCTACGATGAAGAAGTGGACGATCCTCTGCGTTATCTTTGTCGTGCAGATCTCGATGAACTTCAATACGAGCGTCTATGCCAACGCTATCACACCAATGTCCAAAGAGTTCTCGTTGCCTGAGAAGACCATCAGACTTGGACAGATGATCTTTCTTGTCGCATACGCCTTTGGATGTGAACTGTGGGCACCGTGGAGCGAAGAACTTGGGAGATGGCCCATCATGCAACTTAGTCTACTCCTTGTCAATATATGGCAGGTATTATGTGCGCTTGCGCCAAGCTTTCGTGTGATCTTCGCTGGCCGTCTTCTCGGCGGGTTATCATCCGCTGGGGGCTCCGTTACGCTGGGTATGATTGCAGATATGTGGGAAGCCGATGATCAACAGTTTGCCGTTGCCTTTATCGTTCTTTCCTCCGTTGCTGGCTCAGTTGTCGGCCCGATCGCGGGAGGTTTCATGGAGGTCCGCCTTCATTGGCGGTGGAACTTCTGGATTCAATTAGTCGCGGGCATCGCTGTACAGCTTTGTCATTTCCTGCTCGTTCCAGAGACCAGGGCCACCATACTCCTTGACAGGGAAGCCAAACGAATGCGCAGATTCGGTGTAGCAGACGTTTACGGTCCTGGCGAAATCCACGGCCGGGGGTGTACCTTCAAGGAACTGCGCGAAATTTGGATAAGGCCTTTTAGCATGTTTGTCCGGGAGCCCATCGTGCTGTGTCTTTCTCTTCTCAGCGGCTTTAGTGACGCACTCATATTTACCTTCCTGGAATCGTACCAGCCCGTGTTTTCTCAATGGGGTTTTGGGACCATTCAAGTTGGACTTGCATTTATCCCGTATGTTCTCCAAACACCGGGGGGTAGGAATCCTACCTCTAAATATTAAAGCTCACTTATTGACACGGGACTTAACAGGATTATTATCGGGTACGTTATCGGGTATCTTTCGTTTATTCCGGTTATTCTACATCATAAAAAGGACCTCGATCAGAAACCTTATCGAGCAAGACCTGAAAGACGACTCTGGTGGCTTCAAATTAGTGAGATTTCTTTCATATAGAGGCGTGCTTTTGCCGCGTATGTGGCTAATAGTGACTGTAGCTGCTCCGCTCGAGTGCCTGGGGTTATTTCTATTTGCCTGGTCAAGCTTTGGCCCCCCTTATTTCCATTGGATAAGCCCAATGTTCTTTTCTATGATGATTGCTATTGCCAACGTGAGTGTCCCTGTTCATGTCAATGGAGAGGTTTGATATTAATGATAAATTTATCGCTTTTTTGTAGTACTGCATATACATGGCTACGATTGATTATATGATCGCTAGCTACGGCCCGTATTCGGCATCAGCAACGGGTGGCAATGCCTTTGCTAGAGATCTACTTGCCGGCATCGCTGCCTTGTACTCTACGCCATGTGAGTTGAATTGCCCTTGAAAGTAAGGAAAACGTTTCGTGGGATTGTGCTCATGGAGGTGGCATCGTTGAAACACATAGTTTACAAAAATGGCCATCCATCCTACGAGCTGGTGTATCCATCCTTAATCCTCTCAGGCATCGCATTTCTGGTTACAATACCAATTTACGTATTCTATAAATACGGACCACAAATCCGCAAGTGGTCAAAGTTTGCGCAGACGGTTGCTACCGACAGGGACGAGATCCATAAGCGCCGCGCTAGGCGTGCGAATAGGAGTACTTCAGAAAAGACAGGAATGGAAGTTTGATCACCTTCTTTGAAAATGCTTTGCTTTGTTGGAAGTGATGGCAAGATTTGAAAGCCAGAGAGATGAGCAATAACTTTGTTGAGTGGAGCAAGAACGAGAGATCTTGATGAGCTTGCATATTCATTTTGGGGCAAGGTGATGTGTTTGTGGTATGGGAACGACCTGGTTACCCAGCGGCATTAATCATGGGCATATCCTGCGTTGCATTGTGTATGTTTTAGTGCTTGCATGGAGTAGCCTGATAAACGCGACGATGAACAAACAAACGCACATATTTGATCATCGGCCCTAAATTTAAAATAGGGGAAGTATCTGCTCTGTGGGTGAATATTGACCACGGTTTTCTTTTAGCTCCAATGTCAAGGAACTAGTCACTCCGACAGCATAGCATAATTTCGGATTATGGGACAGCTAACTAATCTACAGGATGGGTTGAAAATCTCCAACGGGCTAAAGTCGATCGGAGATTAGCCATATGCTGGTACCATGTGTCCGTCCGGTCCGTTCCTCCATTGATCCGTTTGAATTTTCTTTGGAACTTTACCTCCGCAGCGACAAAGCCGTCGCCCAATATTGGTTTAAAGAGATCTGCCTCGTCCGGGACGGGATCCGGAAGGGGTGGAGGGATTTCGTCGTACTGGTCTTCCTCGATGTTTGGCGTGTGGTCTGAAGATGAGCCGGGAGATAGCAGGGCTGGAAGGTTGGCCAGGGTAGGTGTAACGGCGGTCGCTATGGATGATGGTGACTCATTCTGTTGCTGTTGCCGTTGTTGTCGCTGCAGCTGGTGTTCGTATCTGCGTTCTTCGTAGGCAAGCATTTGGCGTTTCCATTCTAGGCGGTCGTTCCAGAATTTGGTGAGTTTGTCGGCGTTAGGGGTGATGAGCTGCGCGAGCCAGGCGGGAGAATTTGGTCTATTTAAGTTGCCCACATCGCGGCTGACCTCAATGTAGAAAGTCTTCCAGTCCCGCTTATTCACGTGAGTACGGGCAATCCAGTAGATGGAGGTCTTGCAGCCGGGGAATTGGCATTTTGCAGAGTCATTGCGCATGTCAGACAAGTAGTATTTGACGTCGATGGGGTGGGCGTCAGGTTTATATCCTTCGATGATGACGGGGTGATTCAATCTCATGTGCGGGCAAGAGGGAAGGTTAAAAGTGTTGAGGATAGAGGCAATCTTCTTACGGGGTGCTTGGGTAGATTTGGGGAGGGAGAGGATCTTGTAAGTCGTGTAGATGGCAAGGTCGGTTCCACCTCTGCGGCGCAAGGTGCCATCGTCGGTGAGCCAGCCGCGATCCGCAGAACGGTCTTTAAGGTCATTGAAGCTATACTGGGTATCTGGGCTGACCCAGAGGGATCTGGTTGCGTCTCTGCAAGTCCGGTCGTCCGTGCCTTTGTTGAGCTCTGCTAGAAGAAATTTATAACTTGAATGAGTGGTTTTGCATCCACTGCAACAAGCCACAGGAGTTTTGGGATTTGACGGAATGGAAAATCCGAGTCGTTCCAGGAGGTAGAGAAAAGAGTATTGTTCGTTGGGCGCAAGTTGGGGCCACTTTGGGACTTGGTCCGAGAGGATCTGATAAAAGCGTCTCGCTGTGAGGGAGAGAGCCAGCTTTGACTCTGGTGGGAGATAAGGGAAAATGTGCAAGAGTAGTTCTGGGGGGAGGGTCGGAAGGGAGGGCACTGGTGGTGGTGGTCGGATGCAGGGGTACATGATGCCAAAGGACCGCGTTTCAAATCTCAAAGGGGTCCAAGATCAGAGGAACTTGTGGACTCGTGAAGCTATCGAGATAAAGCTCACAGAGTCTTCGCAGTTGGTTGAGAATCAATTCACAATGTCTTTGATTTGAAGAAGGATGACAGCATATGTATCCGTTCAGGAACAAGCCACCATGCTCTCGTTTTGCTGATGATGCCAGGTCAGCCTGAACGACCAATAAAAGGCATCTCAATATATTAACTCTGGTGGCTCGTCATATCTTGGGATCAAGACGGGATGAGCCCCATCAGCGCCAGAGAGGCTCTGATGGTTGTTCACTTGCAACCACTGCTCCAGAGTGGAGTTCCTTGATACACATTTCCGATGCTGGCATGCAGGAAAATCAAATCAGCGGGCAAGCAAAGCGCAGAGCCAATGAATTTACGCTGCCTAAATCAGGCAGAGCAAATGGAGCTGAGGTCCAGCGAGGTTCAAGCAGGGTTCAGCGGTAGCAAGCTAAGCTTGAAGAAGGTTAGTGAGCTGATTTTGCGCCCGCCGAGGTTGTCCCGTCTCATGTTGCAAGGTCAATGTCGCTCTCTCATGCAGGCGAATTCGGTCCCGCACTCTTTGATTCAAAAATAAAAAGAAAAGAAAAGAAAGAAAGAAGGAAAGAAAACATCCAAGGATTGATTTGTTGTGATCCTCGTCGAGAAATGAGGCTGCCTGTCCGGCGTTGTTACTCGGACGGGGCCGGTGGAGCATTGCTTACCTAAGAAATACTTGCTGCGTAGCTGGACTGTTTACCTCTCCGTATTATGCTTACTCAGCACACACCGGCGCCAAGTTGCGCTAGTCTATATCAAGACTAGCGCATTTGCAGCTCAACACGAAATCTTCTTCCGTCGCGATTCGAAGCTCAACACCAATTCTCCCACCGTTAAAATACGCCCGCGACAACAAGCAACAGCACTACCACCACCACTGACATCGCCAAGTCATCGTTCGCCATGGTTTCGACATATAAGTTGGAAGAAGAGCTCATCAGGAAAGCTTCGGAGGAATACAGCCAGAGGACATGCGCTAACGAGAAGGTCAGCGTTGCCACCCTGGCGCGCGAATATAAAGTCTCCTACCACCGTCTTCGTCGCCGAATCCTCAACGTTCCCTCGCGCTCCACCCGCAAGAGAACCAACCTCAGACTGACCGAGGAGCAGTACAAGGCTCTGTACGAGTACCTCGAGCTGCTGGGGAAAGAGGGAACATCCGTCACTCCGCAGATGCTCAGAGACACAGCCAACTCCATCCTGCGAGAGAGCCATACAGACCCCAATACTCCTCCCCCTACTGTCGGAAAGGGCTGGCAATATCGTTTTATCGAAATGCACCCACACTACTTTCCAAATATCAAGGTTCGGAAAAATGAATCCAGACTCGGCCCGCTAAGAGACAGCCTCACCAGCCAGGTGGACCAGACAACTTGACCCTCTTTCAACCCTTCTGGCCAAGAGCCCCATGGCCTAATAATCGATGCTAACACGAGGACCCTCACCCACACCCACTCTATGTATTGCACCTCCCGAAACTCACTCTGGGAGGGAGCGCACCGAATTTTCTCGAGCGACCAAAAGGTTCACCGGTTATCCTTCCATTCCAAAAGGAAAACCAACTCTCGAACAAACTTGAAAACCACCTTCATTCTTACATTAATTCTATCCCCTAGTGCCGGGATAGGTGATCTGCCACTCCACGAATTATGTGTTCAAATTTCGCCGATATTCGAGACATTTGAGGTCTTCAAGCCTCATTCACTTTCCCGGAATCAGTCGCGATTGAGTCTAACCAAGTGAACCCCTGCGGCTCTCACAACGTGCGCCCTGAATTTTTCAAGTTCACAAAATTACCGAGATCGACAAGTAGGGCCATTCAACTTCCCTCCTTGAGTTAACCTCTCCCATCATAACCACGAGCAGGATTCGGAAAGCGTCCTTGCACCCCCCCGTTCTGCTGGCATTCTCGATAAGATTGCCATGTCAGATAATTTCTCCAAAGCATCAGAGGTTCGGCGGTAACTCCCCCCCAGGGGTGCTGTCCCCCATCTCACGTTAAATAGTTTCTTTTGAAACCGAATACGTGAGGTGCTGAACTTCAATTGGGCCGCAACAGGAGTCAATCATCCTCCTTTTCTTCTCGTTATAATTGGAGAAGAACACCCCTTGCACTTGCAGCTAAATTTGGCATTCCCACCTTGGCGATCAGGTGACATGCTGCGGTTTTCAACCCGCGTTGTTGAAGGTTTCACGGCCCAACAAGCACAATCGCATTTCTCTAGCCTGTGCTTGGTGTTGATCCTGCTGGCATTGGCCTCTTCCGCCAATGCGGGCCGTTCCGTGATCTGGGGATGCCGTTCCTCTTTCCTTTCGCCCTCTTGATTCTAAGCCGGATAGTGTGTTCCTCTTCAGAATATGTACTTTGATCTAGTGAATCCCTTCATTGGGGCAGATGGAGGAAGTGTGATATGTAGAACGCGCATTAAAGTATACCCTAACAGCCCGCCTAATTCCCTGTAGCTGGCTATCTCGAGGTTGAGCTTTGCCGCTGCAGATTCTCTGTTATAGATAAAGCTGCACCATAGATCAGTGGGAGCCCAACCGCCTCTCCTGGTTATTTCTAGCTGGAATGAAATACGTCTATTCTGGCAGAAATGTCCGTATCAAACCGCACTGCACTATACAGATTTACCGTTCCAGATACCTCGGTTGTCTCACAGAGTACGTTCTCTTATACTACTGGAGTTGAATGATCATCCGCACTCGCGCCACCAAGTCTCCGTTGATGTAAAAACAGACCAGATCAAAGAGAACAAAACTTTTAGCGCCGGTTTTGGCACAGGGCTATAAATTATTCATTTTTGTGTTGATTTTGTGGTACTTTATTCAGGAAACAGGAGCTTTCGTCAACAATCGTGCTGGAATGTCTCTCAAATCAATTGAAATAGTTCAGGGCAGCCTTGAGCCTTCAGTCCTAGCCAGCGCATTTGTACAATTCTCCCCATCCTCTGACGAGTGAATATATGCACCCATTGGTGTAAGTTTCGTTGGCATCGGCCAGGCTTGCAGCAACGCAGAGAGGGAGCTAGCTGACTTCAACTTTGACAAAATATTCTCCCTAGCAAGGGATGCTTGGGGCCGGAAGCTTGATGTTATTAAAGTCACAACTAGCAAAGTATCGGGTGATATGGAGAAAGATCAGCTGTAGGCCATTAATGGGACGAACAGTGGGTTTGTCGAGTTTTTCTAACCACGATATCTTAATGGGGCCTGGGGATTTCAAGACCCAGCTTTCTGCAGCCCGCTATTAAAATTTAAATTTTGCTTTTTTAACTCAGACAGACCTGAGAGCTATGAAAGTGGTAGCTGGTTCTATACCATGTGGGGAGACAACTTCCTCTCTTCGTGTCTTGCAAATACTTATCACTTGATATCTAATTTTGTTCCTCAAGACATGGCTACACTAATCGAAGTCCTCAGTGGGTCACAACAATTCATCGATCGCCTTACATACTTCCACGAATCTGGGCTCTGATATATGGGTGACGAATAGTCATTTTTAACCATTTGCCGGCTCCACTACGCTGGCCGTCCGGAAGTTTCTGCACGTCGGGTGCATAAATACGTTTGTCCTCTTTTCTACAATGACCCCAAAGGAATACCCGAGAACGACGACGGCGGCGTCATGGGATTTTTCTTGCGCTTGCAATGATAGACTATATCCCGTTCATGGCGAGAATGTATATTTGATTATGCCGCCCTTCTTCCAGGGCGTTAGCATCAAGAACTCAAGCAAGGGAGATTTCACCGTCATTGGAAATAGTAATTTCGATACTGGATATGAAAACATATATTTACGAAGTCTGAAGGGGGATGGAAATGCTTGGATGAATAATTGGATCCGACACGACTTCTTCTCGGGTGATGGAGTATTAGAGCTCACCTTGGAGGCCTACGAAAGTGCTTGGTGGGACAAGCAACGTAGATTTACCTCCCAGCCTCCCAAGTTGGTTTGGGGGGGGGGGGGGGTTCAGAATGATACTGATAATGGAGCAGCATATTTGAGACGACTCTTCAAGCAGTTCCCAAATTGGGTGTCCATCTTGATTGAGCCATCCTGATGTGGTCGATAGCATTGAGCGTGTTGGAACCCCGACAATTTTTTTTTCAAAAAAAAAAAAAAAAAAAAAAAAAAAAAAAAAAAAAAAATTTTTCCTTAATACAAAGTTAAGCGGATCATATCCATGATGAAATGCCAATAAATTCCGCAAGGTATACACTATTTACTCTTATTCGCTATGTATACAGTCCGTACGTGCTTGTACACACCAAGAGGGGATATGATGATGTATAGAGAAAGAAGATATTAAAAAGGATAGACATATAGAGTCAGCCAAAACATGCCGCTAGGTATGCAAGGAAGCATGCGGAAGACATATAGTTTTCAGGCTCAGAAATAGTTAGATTGTCTCGAAAAGGATATTCATGGAAGACAGCGCTCGCTTACTAGCGATGGGCTGGACTCTTGAACAAAAGGAATAAGTCTCTGTCGAGAGGAATTGAGGTAAGGGTATATTCCAGAAACAGGCACAAGAAAAGATATTCTCCTGGTTTTGTTGTCAAGAATGTTGTTGAACAAGGAGACTTCCTAAAAGAAAATGGACAAAAAGACAAAGAATGAAGTGAAGAGTAGATTATACAAGATGTCAAGTGCCTTGCGACACGTGAACATCTAATCATCTCGAAAGAAAAGAAAAGAATCGAAAAGAAGGGCGGATTATCGAAGGCCCAGAACCAAAAAAGGGGAGGAGACGTGGAAGGTCTCTTACTTTGATTCCACGATTGATATATTCCCAGACGATAATGTTCGCTTTGTCCATCCGCTGAAAAAGCCGCCGCCACCGGTGCCCCCACCCCCGCCGGCACTAACTGCTGAACTTCCATTTGAATTGGGAGTTCGAGGTGTCGTCGAGGACGATCCCCATCCAGCTGACAGGTGCATGTTTCCCGCCGGCATCGTGGCAGCAGTGGAAAGGCCAATGCCCGATTTGGACATGAGTTTTCGAAGGTTTTCCAGTTTTGCTTTGACTTCGTCGAGTTCTTGACGGGCGATGGCTTCAGATGTCTTGGCATTGACGAGCTCTGCGAGCAGGGAGTCTTCATCGGCGTTATCGGGTGGAGTGAAGAAAGTCGGGGCGCCGAGGGAGCTAGTGCGTTTGGCGAAAGTAGCTGCTTTGGGAGACGTCGCCTGAGTAGAAAATGTGCTGATGGTAGAAGCTTTACCGAGTTTGAATTCGCGAAGACCCGAGGTGGAAGCCCGATTGTCGTCAGCGGTGGACTGGGGTCGGTCGGAGGTGTTGGAGGGAGGTTGTTTGCGAGATCGCAGTTCCTGGATGGTGCGCTCGAGACGTTGCTTGTCCCTGTGGGCATCCTGGATGCGCGAGCGGGCGTCACGGAGTTGCTCTTTTAACTGGTTATTTTCGTGCTCGTGGTCGTCGATTGTGCGACTCAAGTTTTGACATCGGGCGAGCTCGATTTCGTACTTCTCTCGCCACAAGGCGATATCGTCTCGAAGCTGCTGTTTGGTTTGCTGCATAGACAGCCGGCGGGATTCAGTAGTAGAGAAGCGGCTGTTCGCTTTAGCGATAAGGTCAACGGCCTCTTCATCTTCCGGCTGTTCTTTGATATATCCCAACATTAATTTAGCCAGTTGTTGGTCTTCCTCGCGCTCTTCACGTTCCTTTTGGAGTTCCTTAGCCAGAGTTGCATGCTCGCGCTGCATGTCTGTCAATGCGATAAGCAGGTCCTCGATTTGAGTATGCAGATCCTTGTCTTTGTTCTGCATGGTCGACTTTTGCTTGCGCTTACTGCCGTCCAATGAAAGCTCTGTTGGGGCTGTGCTAGCATCGGAAGTTGACTCGAAAGAGTTCAGGGTGGACGCCATGCTCTGCTTGGACGGTGTACGGCGAACCGCGGATGGGCTAAATGGCGTTCCAGGGTTGAGCACAAGTGACTTGGTGGAATTGTGAGCATTCGACCCCGCCCATAATCGCCCTAAAAACCGAGAAGCAACAGCTTGTAGCTGCGGGAGATAAACATTAGACGAAGATCCTTGGGATTCTTTGTAGCTCGCTTCTAGCGCTTGAAGGCTCTCTCGAGTCACGAGGGACGTGAGAGAGACAAAGTCGTTAACAAGGTCGTCCGCGTTGCAGCAGTACCTATATTTGATTCAGTATTTTTCCTAGCGACGGAGGACTGGAAAAAGGAGGACGCATACGGATCCCAAATGCTCCTCGATAGGAGAAGTTGCATGACGTCCTCAAATTCGTGACACGCCAGGAGTTTCTTTTCGTTTCGTTGCATCAACGAAAGTGCAACGCGCATCAGAGTCTCGCAAGCGCCCTCGAGAAGCAGAACATCGTAAATACGGAGCA